TGTGTATGGACAGTCGAAGTATTTCCTCTAGTCGACAAACTAACCCGAGGGTGATTAAGCCAAGCTTGTTCGGCTAACGTTTCGTGGTCTTCGTCTTCTTCAGGACCGGATTGATCTGAATCGATGGTCCACACTCGTTCGCCGTCGGGATATGGGTCTCCACACTGGTATCGGGTTGAATCTTTTAGTGGAACACCGCTTAAATGAAGTATTCTCAATTAATGATGTCTTTTATGTTGTTGAGAGATTGATTGTTCGTTGATAATAACTTTTTACTTTCGTACAATTCGTCCCAGCAGAAAGCAAAGCAAAAGCGAAACAATATCTTTTGTACCGGACATAATAATGATGACAATAATAGTAGTAACGGTAACAACGATAATAATCCAACGGTAGTCAGCATAATACAGACTGTGGGAGAATAAATAGTTCGAAGAGATACAACCACAACGTTGCTGAGATATTTGCAAAACTCTGGACCGCAGGTGTCTATGGTGGGGAACGAACGCGCTATTATCCTTTCCGGGGAGTAACGCGTTCACCACCACACCATGCGGGTCCTTTGTTTCGCACGTCTCTCAGCTATTTCTATCGATCTTTTTGCCACAGCAATCACCCGTCAGCGGGGTTGATCTGGGGAGCGCAAATCGGCATAGAACCCAGTTAAGCTATGGCTGTAGTTGAAATCACAATGTTTTAACGTTTTGTTTTCTGCCTTCTATAATTTTCATGGCAGGTTACTAAGCGAAATACAACCACAACGTTGCTGAGATATTTGCAAAACTCTGGACCGCAGGTGTCTATGGTGGGGAACGAACGCGCTATTATCCTTTCCGGGGAGTAACGCGTTCACCACCACACCATGCGGGTCCTTTGTTTCGCACGTCTCTCAGCTATTTCTATCGATCTTTTTGCCACAGCAATCACCCGTCAGCGGGGTTGATCTGGGGAGCGCAAATCGGCATAGAACCCAGTTAAGCTATGGCTGTAGTTCGAAGAGAAGCAAATTATGATCAACGTTCAATTATTCTTTCGACAATATAAAAGGACACCGCTGAGTGAGAATACCTCATTTGAGCGATGCTCTACTGGATTCGAGTGACGTAATCACGACGAGCCGGTTCTGAAGAATGATTAGCTATGGCCACTCGACTCGGACCAATTCTATTCCGAAGACGCCGAAAACGTCAAAATGCTGGCCGAATAAGGTTCTTCTGTTAATCTCGTGTTAGCTTGTCAATTGAAGTTTAAAAACCAAAGTTTAAAGTTGAACTTTTTAAAATCTTTATAAATCCTAGTCCCAGGTAAAATGCTCGTATATTTGTCGGCTGTCTGTTGCATACTCATTGCCCAGGCTTCCTCGCAGTCCATGAGTAAGTGTAAGTTTTCTTCTTCAAGAAAAACTCGATTGTGTTCATATACACATTGATAATCCTCTAACAGGTCTTTCATCTTCAAGAAAAACTCGATTGTGTTCATATACACATTGATAATCCTCTAACAGGTCTTTCATCTTCAAGAAAAACTCGATTGTGTTCATATACACATTGATAATCCTCTAACAGGTCTTAAGAGTGCTCCTCGCATTTCCTCTAAAATATGTGGGAAAATGCACGTTTAAGGTAGGCTCCTTTAAAAAGCTGTTTCGGAAATTGCTATTCTCGACCCTGATGCATTTAAGTGAACAAAGCAAAGAGAACATTAATGGTTGCACCCATCTTTTAACTCTGGTGATTCCAAAGTACACCTCATGTATGGACGTTGGCACCAATTTCCACTACTTGAATACGACGTTCAGTTGGATGAAAATTACTCGAAGCTTCGACAAAAATTTTCTTTCATCTTCATTTTTGAAGTTGTGCCAGTTTTTTTTTCACTTATTTGACAATTTGAAAAAACTTTGTGGTTGTGTGTCTTCACTTCTTTAACGTTATTCCTTGTTTTTCTCCATAAACCACTCAATTTCTTTTGGAGCACCTAAGTTTTCTTTTCGTTCTTTCTCACATTTCATTACACATTGTATTTTTTATGTTCGCCTCTTCCTCATTCAAGCTTACAGTCGCGATTTTTTCCAAAGTTTAAAGTTAAACTTTTTAAAGTCTTTATAAATCCTAGTCCCAGGTAAAATGCTCGTATATTTGTCGGCTGTCTGTTGTATACTCATTGCCCAGGCTTCCTCGCAGTCCATGAGTAAGTGTAAGTTTTCTTCTTCAAGAAAAACTCGATTGTGTTCATATAGAGCAGTACCTAGAAGTGTCCGATGTAGAAGCTCGTGAATGAACCCCACATCAGAAAATAACTAAGTCTCTTACCTTCCTCCGAATTCTGTGTGGATGATAACGCAAACTTGAGACCTGAGACTGTAGGGCCCTAAAAAGTCATTGCATAGACCAGGCCACATAAATTCACCTCCACAGTGTTCGATGGAGTCGAATGAATGGCACGTCCCCCAGGAACTGGTCGACACTGAACGCTTTATTCTTTGAAATTCGGTCATTCCTACTTAAAATTAAATTCTTATACTCGCTTAGTCTTTTAGGATGGAAATGGAAATAAATTATCACAAGAATAACATAATAAACAGGATTCACTATATTAAATATAATGTAACGTGAATGTGGACTCAAAATGTCTCATTGCAAGGTGAACTGGTTGGGCTTTCCACGCAGTGGACAACTCTTCGGAGAACATTCCAGTGAAGTGGACAAATTTTTCTATGCTTTACTAATACACAACACACCTCATATTTGACTTGAATTGACACCTCCACTTAATTCCGTCCGAAGTAACCAGCTTGGGTTTCCTATTCCTCGAAGTTTTTAGGTATTGATAAGCCTTGTGATGTTTTTAGTCCGAAAACTATGTAAGAGATTCGAAACGTCATTCAAATGATAACTACTGTACGAAACATATTGTGCATCTGCCTATATTCACAACCTCAAAAACAATAGTTCCCGTAATCTACTGCAGTGCTCCATAGTAATTTGGTTCTAGAAACAATACAAAGCAGTTCTTCTATAAACTATGTAGAACCAGTGATCAGACAGTATACATTTTGCATAAATTTTTAACGCATCCAGCAAGCTCGGTAAGGGGCACGTGGTACAAAAGCGCATAGAGCGGCTATGACATCTCTCAGCAGTTCAGTCCTCGTCCAATTATCAACATGTCGTCGCACATCTGAGCAGTTATCGTATTCACCACAGAAGATCACTCGCAATTTTTTCGAGGCGAAGGATTTCGATCTGTGGCATACGCCGACTCACCAGACGGCAGGGAATTTATCGGATTACTTAACCAATATGTGCTAAGAACGGTATGGGAAAGCGTCATTACTCATTTAATAATGCAAATGTTTTTAGATAAAGGAACGCGATAATTATTCAGTTTAAAGACTCTAAAGCGTTTTCTCATTCTGGCTACCTTTAAAATCAAAATACCCCAACAAAGTGAGCTTTTAAATCGATGGATGTGCTTCGACGAACCGTCAGTGAAGTCACCCTTCTTATCCTCTCGTAGTCTAGGTGAAAACATTGCAAATTAAGAGCCACTTGCGGAAAGCGTAATGCTTTTCGTGTTTCCTGGTTAAGGGGATCTTTGGTGGACATGAGTTCAGTCGAAAAATTAGTGGTGCCATCCTGGGTAACTCGACGATTAATGGACTTACAAGCAATAAAAGGGGTTCAGATGTGGAAAGGAAGGCTTGTAAATAATGCGCCATAGTGTTAGCCATAAAAGCACATTCCACTGAAGAATTTATCGTGGAGTTCTTATTTGGAATGGACAAAAATGATACCCGTTCAAACAGAACGTAAACCCATCTTTGGATGGCGATCCTTATTTACAGGAATTCAGTATGATAACTAGTAAATAGCGGTAAGTGAATAGCTTACCTAAAATGAGTAGTTTTTCCAACTCTTTCTTTGTATCTGTTCACTTCTATTGCTTAGACGATACACTATGACAGAATAGATTGAGTTCAGATGATCTGGAAAAACGATTTTACTACCTGAGCATGCCAATTTCCCGATACTTGGCAGAAGTTGAAAACATGAGGGAAAATAATGGAGGGATCTATGACGAGGTATGTTTATGCTCTTGGTAAACAAAAGATTGATTAAATCTGCAGATGAGACGGATCTGAGTCATTTTTTTGTGCAGATAGACATAGGGATAGACACGTACACGAACCACTCCTCCATGCCACCATATCTGTTTCTATTATATGAGTACAATATTCACTCCTTAACTTCCACAGACCTCGTATCGAACCGGCCATCACCGAATAGAGGAAGACTAGTTTATAGCAGCATTCGATTAGAAGGAGGTTCCACTGCCATTGTTTTAAAAGAGTGCGTACTATAGACGAAGGAGATGTTCCAGCCAATTCTCTTAGTAGTTACTAGAAATCGCAATACATATCGTACTGCTGTGCAACACTCATCAAAACTGTCGACGCTCCTTTGCAGACGTCACGTGATCCTCATCTACTTCTAGTTCTTCGTTGGTGACGGTACGTGTCGATCATTTCAGCTAACATTGAGAATCCATTCCCTATTTTTCCCTACCGCGGTTTATGTTATATAATCAACAAAAATATTCTTCTTAACAAAAAAAGCAAACGAGCAGTGTGCAGTTCATGGCAATTATATGGAAACTACATTCGGTGGGTGCAGTGCAGTGGTCAGAGTTGGCTTGCAATACACGCAGGTTTGATCAGGCACCCCGAACTCACCAAACTTTCCATCCCTCCTAAGTCGGCAAATTGTAACCATCTGGTAGGATAAGCGCACCGATCTGTTATATCGGTAGGCTACCGGAAGTAACTGTATAGGTGTGATATGTACTCAATCACTTCTACATCCTTGAGGAAGTCGAGTGAATGGCGCATCCTTCAGAGAATTAATCAACGCCGGATGTTTTGTTCTCTAGATTTTTGCCGCTTCCAACTTCTCATCAGGTTTTTCTTGCAATAAAGGGTTCGATTTTTGGCCGCTTAGATGGAATCCAGTTGGGAAAGTTTTTTTAGGAGGTGGTGCTCATTTGATGGGAGATCAGGGCGACCAAAGAAACTACAGCACATGTAGGAAAGGTGCAACTTCTTCCAAAAACGTTATAATACTCTTTAGAACCACTGTCTTACAAGATTTTATGGTAAACATAAAGAGCTCCTAAAATACGTCAAAACAACAAATAGGATCTGATTGGCTCTTCAGTAGTGGCTTATTTCACTACCCTTTTCCGTTGTGGACCTGATTGTTTAGTTTATAGTAGGTGTCCTTTTAAGTGTATCTTCATCAAACGGAACACATAGTTTTTAAAAAAATCAAAATGTTTTTTAATTTAAAGAACTAAACAACTAAACATATTTAGCTAAGAAAAAAGCGTTTCGAGGGCCTCGGTGACTACATGGAAGATCCGACCTCGAAGCGTACCAGCCTCAAGCGTCTCGCCATCCTCAGTGCAAGAGGGTTCGGCAAGAAATAAGCCAACATCAACACACTTGTGCGTATTTGTAAAATATTTCGCTTCCAGTCTTTTCTATTTTCGAAAACTCCATTGCTGAGGACTGAAGTGGTGTAGAAGCCTTGTGACCATGTGACCTGTATTGCCTGTGGTCGTTCGACAACTTTATTATGCACTTTACACCATACCATAGCGAAAAACTATACAGAATATCACATATCTGGAATACAGTGGTTTTCGAAGAAATTCGCAGAGGATATCCTAACCTCCCATGAGCTATTACTATTTTACATGCTGTGTGTAGTGGATTGTTTGTAGTCAATACGTTGTAGTCGAAACATTCCAAGCAACGTAAAATGGATAAAGTTGTTCAATAAATTTTTGCTGTTTCCTGTTTCCTCAATCCATCCTACTGTTGTACTTAGTGGGTCATTTTATCCATTCCACTTCTACGAAGCTAGAACCGTTCGTTTAAAACTCAGAACCGAATGCGTCAAGCCGGATCAGACGCCTTTATTGTTAAGCGATTTGTTTAAACGACTTGAGTTGCTACATCTTACACAGCTTGTTGGATAACTAATCCCAAGACTTGCTACCGTTAAGATAATCATCGCTCTGGACCAATTTTTACTTCTATAACGTGTATCACCCATAGTCCCGTTGATCGTCGAGCGACATGAGCGGGCACCAGGAAATCTTCCATTTTTCCCTGTCGCGTGCAAGAGTAGCCCAACGGGTTCTGCTTGCTCTAGGGACTCGTCGAGCATCATATCTTTCTTCAAGGCTCTTTGTGAAAAACTCTGACCATCGGGTCTGTGGTCTTCCTGCAATACGTTTGACATCCCCAGGAATCCAGTCACTAACGGCTCTTGTCCATCGGTAGTTTCATACGCATTACGTGTCCGGCCCACTCTATCTTTGACTGTTTAGCGTACAGAACGGCATCTTTGATTTTTCATCGTTGACGCAGATCGGAGTTTCAGATTCCATCCCTTACTTCTGTGAAAGTGGATACTCCTAGCATCGTCCTTTCGACTGCACATTCGATAATGCTGAGTGATCTTTTGTCCTGCTTATGCGGCGACCAGGTTTCTGACGCATACGTTAGAGCAGGTAGTACCGTTGAGTCGAAAAGTTTGGTACGGAGTCGGCCGTTCCTTGTTCTCTTCACTACATCCTCGATGCTCTTGAAAACTTCCGAAGCCGCCTGTTTTCTTCTGCTCAGGTCTAGAGCTAGGTCGTTCATCATACTCATTTCCCGACCTAGATAGTCATAACTGGAGCATTCGGAGATATTCGTTCCGTTGAGCTTGCATGTGGCATGCGAAACCAATCCGTTCCTCATGAGCATCGTTTTTGTGAGATTTAGGCGAAGACCAATCTTAACACAGGCTTTATCAAAGTCGGCAGGTATACGTTCCGCTTGGCTAATGTTTGATGTTACAAGGACAATGTCATCAGCAAAGCGAAGATGATGTAACTGCCTACCATCGATTTTCACTCCCATATTATCCCATCCCAATGTTTGCATGACGTTCTAGAGGGTGGCGATAAATAATTTTGGCGAGATGGTATCGCCTTGCCTAACCCCTCTTTTGACATCAATGACAATATCGTTGTAGAATGGTGATATTTTCGTTGTGAAATTCTTGTACAGCTCACGAAGAATCTTTATGTACTGAGTAGGGACTCCTTGACTATCAAGGGCTTCCATGACTACTTCTATCTCAGTTGAATATCTCTATCTCAAAGGCCTTTTGTAAATCGATGAAAGTGATACAGAGAGGTCTTTCTACTCTCGCGATGCTTCAATGAGCCTTGTTATCGTGTGGATGTGGTTCATTGTACTTAATTCTTTTCGAAACCCTGCTTGCTCACCTGGCTGTCCTTCGTTCAGCGTTCTGTCAATCCTGTTTAGGAAGACTTGAGTGAAAAGTTTACAGATGACAGACAGCAAGCAGATTGGGCGATAGTTGCCGATATCGTAGAGGTCACCCTTTTTGAACATTAGCACGGTGTTGCTGGTCTTCCACTGAGTAGGGAGCTTGCATTCAGACAGGCAACGTGTGAAGAACTGAGCCAGTGTGTTTACAAGGACTGGCGCAAAGTTTTTCAGGTGTTCTAATCTTATCCTGTCCAGACCTGGTACTATTCGATTTTTCACCGACGAAATGGCATGTCGGATTTCGGAAGGGAGAACCAGTGGTACAATATATCCATCCTCCTTTATTTCATATGACGGAAGGTGGACGTGGCTATCGAAGAGATCCGAGTACTAGTTGTGAATGATTTTCTCCATTGCCTTTCTGGACACTGTAACAGTTCCGTCTGGGCGTCGGAGTGCAATCATCTTCGTTTTGTAATTGGCGATCCTTCGGTGCTCTTTGCAAATGCTTTTCCCAGCCTCTGCAGCTTCGACCATTACTGCTGCTCTTCTCTCTTTAAGATTTTCTGTTATTGCCTGTCTGCATTGTTTTGCAAGTTCGGAAGTTAGTTCGCGGCTGCCTGCAGCTCGTGCGATTCCACGCTGGTGTATCAGCTCAAGTGTTTCTGGAGACAAACGTCTCTTGGTGACTTTCGAACTCTCAGCCTTCATAGCGCTAGCGTGAAGATGTTGAATGAGCCGATCGTATTCTTTGTCGATGTTACCGACAACGGCATCTTCCCAACAACCGACTAATGAATTGAATAAGTCCCAGTTTATGGTGGTTCCGGTACTTCGGTTTTTGAATTTAGCGGCTTCTTCTCCTTTCCGCGAGGAATAGAATCTTGCACGAAGGAGACGTTGGTCTGATCCAGTGTATAACTTTGGGACAACAAAGACATTGGTTAGGCAAAACCTTCTATTTACTATGATGTAGTCTATTTCGTTATGGAACTCTCCATTGGGAGAATCCCACGTCCAGCGCTGAGGGTGGGGTTTCTGGAATTGCGAGTTAACATGGATCGTCTTGGTCGCCTTGATAAACTTAGATAGCTGCTCACCCTGTTCGTTCCATTCTAAGCCGTGGGTGCCAATGTGACGTTCTTCTGACGTTCTTCTTCATCCAATCTTGGCGTTGAAGTTTCCGATGATGACCTAGAAGAATGTGTGGTCTTCTCTGTAGAACTTCTCGAAGTCTATATAGAACGTTTCGACTACTTCTTCGTCATAGTTTGATGTCGGCACGTAACCCCCTATCCGCCACCTGGAGACGCACCACGTAGCCTCACGACTAACCGGCTCGTGATCCCTCATATGGGGGAGATCCGTGGTTTACTTTTATGTAATCCGTAAAACCGGCAACCTTAAAATGGTAGCGATCTGGTAGTGCCTATGTACGGCTGCCTCACGTTTCCAGAGAAAACGACGGTGCAACAGCATTCATTATATCAGTGAAGTAGGAAAATGATGACGTTTCGATGACAGCTGCAGACAACAAAACGGATGGAAAAAGACTAAGGCTACGGATCATGATATGTGAAGAGAGAATTAATATCTAAGAATCTGCGTTAACAAGGTCTCCTTGAAAAGATTGTTTGTCTGATGAGTTACTCGGCTTGGAGTTTGGTGAGAGAATCGCAAAGCAAGGATCTCGACTGGCGTAGTTGACTGTACGTCAGCCCCTAAAAGGGTAAACTCAAGCTCCAAACACACCCGAGCTTTCGAGTTTTGCTTATATTTCAGGATCTCTGTGGTTGTATGTTGTGGTTGGAGTGCGCGTGTGGCGCAGTGGTCGAAGGCGCCCTGCAACGCACACGTAGAATCGATCCCCGCTCCCATGGCCCACCAAGCCTTCCATCCCTCCGGGGTCGGTAAATTGGTACCGTATTTGTCTGGAATGATAGCAGCACTGGCTCGATACATTGGTAGGCGACCACGAGTCATTGTAAAGACCAGATATGCATTCAATCACCTCGAAACGATGCTTAATGAAGTCGAATACAGGCGCATCCTTCAGAGATTGATCAACGCCGGGAGCCTCATCATTTATTTTTTTGTGGTTGTATTTGGCATAATATCTTGCCTTGAAAGAAGAATAGGCGGTAAGTAAAAGTTAGAACCTTGATTGTTTTCTTTTCTCTGTACTCTTTTTCACCAGCAAATTTCTACAACATTAAGCATCACGATCCAAATAGATAGTGTTATCTACTTCAGAGTACGATTAGGCGCAGTGCACCAGATGATGTTTAGTGCTTCCATTAACTGGAAACGTCAGTTGCAACCCGTCGAAGTCATTTTACGCATCTATTCGACAAATCAGGAATCCCAGTAATCCACATTGCAGTTGTGGATTTCAGACACAAGAGCAGAAAGGAATTCTTCTTCTTTCCTAAGATGGAAGAGCTCTTAAAAAAGAAGTACACCAGTCCAAGCGATTTTCGATGCACGCGCATCTCTGTGATTCCTCACGATTTTCGTAAGCCTCAATTCCCAGCAGGTTCGTTAGAGATTTCTTTCCGGTATTCTATGCAAGCAAATTAAATTTATTCGAATTAAGGGTAGCCTCAAAGCTGTAAATTTATGATAAAATTTGGTATGTATTCTTTCTTTGATGAGCTTACACGAGGTTGATAGTGATATTTATTTTCGGCTAACGTTTCGACGTCTTCGTCTTCCTCAGAGCCGATGATCCGAGTCGATGGTCCATGTCGAAAGTCGAAAAAAATTTGGTATATAGCTGTCTGTCTATTTCTTACGATAATCATTCACAATGGCGATTGGAGATGAAAATAAACAATGTTCACTTACCAGTCAGTGAACTCGTCAGAAAGGAAGATTTTTCGCAGACTATTTAATGCGAAGAACAGCCTTTAATGGGACAAGAGTAAATATAGCATATATGCCAGACAAGCTATCACCTGGAACAAGAAAGGTACTGAAAAAGAGATGCATCGGAGGAAGTGCACTTAGCCGACTTTACCACCCAAGCACCCATAACACACAATGTCTCTGGAGTTCGGTGTTAAATCAACAAATGCAGTCGAAACCCCTGAAAATGGCAGTGATATCAACCAATTTGCTATTCCAAGCAGAGGCC